CCCGTTAGTGCTTCTGCCATTTTTGTAGTAATGGTCTGACACCTCAAGAGGTAATCATTATGTGAGATTAGAAACCTTTTATACCTGTTGGAACTTTAACAAGTGTGTGTACTTGATCTTCAGAAAGGAGAAATACACATGCTATCGGTTCCATATTTGGTAAAAGATTGCTTCCCACACTTCGCAGTGAAGTTAGATTTTCAATTTCTGGCTGCGACGGGAAATGTCTGGCCAAGCCTTAGAATTTATCAACTCTGGAATCACTTCAGAGGTGTAATGACTCCATTTGGGATCAGATCAGGTCTGAAGGCCCAGTGGAACCAATATGTCATTTCTGTTCTACCACTACAAAAAACCTAATAGTATAAGAATAGTCACGGCATTTTTGACCTGATGTGCACACCAACTTTATTTGCTTCTCCCCCTAAAATATTCTTCTCCAAGGACACCAGCAAATTTTCAGGCCTGCAATTTTTGTCATTGGTTTGATACCATAAAAGTCCCTATGAAGTATCCAGTTTGAGATTCAAATATAACCCTAAAGATTTCCTATTTCTTTCCCCCACTCTCTGGATTGAATCAATTCCAGACATTATTATAATATCATTTTTCAGAGCTCTATAAATAGATGGATTCTCATTTCTCCTCTTAAGCGCTGTTTGCTAAATGTTTTGGCCCAAAAGTTCAGTCATTCCATACAAGCATTAATCAATACAGGAGACATTAGTGGTTACTCGTTCAGATGAGATTTGACATTATTTTTCGTCTGCTTATGAGGAAGGGAGGGGAATGTTGCCTAATAAAGATAAAGAGTCTTTCTTCTTTTGTATGAAATGCTAATGATGAGGACATGCATGATACACATTTCTCTAATGTGAGGCTGCTGCATTTTGCTGAGAAAGAGAGGCAAGGCCCTGGAGGATTTTAGACTTTGTAAATATAATATTATCTGCCTGGTGTTTAAAAAAATAATAAAAGGGAGAAAGAATTGGCAGGTTGCCAGATTACTTACATTACAGTAATAGATTTGCTGACCCTTGACTTCTGCTGTAGAGAAATGTATTGAATTTTTCATAATATCAGATGAGGCAGATCTAAAAACCTAGTATACCAAGCACCATTATTTAACTTGAGATTTAGCAAAGCTGAAATCTTTTCAAACCAGCAATTTCTTGTATGATGATAATTTAGTGCCTCAGATGCTAATAAATCAAGGTTATAATGCCATTGATTTGTTAATTTTAACTTGGGTTGATTTCAAGTCATCTTTATTAAAAAATAAAATAAGAAGAACAAGAAAAATGAGAAAGAGAAAAAAAATCTTGCTTTTCACAGTGACTGAATTTAATAAGAATCTCCGTGATAGGAAAAGGCTCCCCTACTGTTTCTGCTTTGGGGTGGAAAATGTTATTCTTGTATTATTCCTAGGGAAAAATAAAATCTCATGCTGCTACAAATCTTATGCCTATGGAAAGATGTTATTTTTTAATACGTGATGGCTTACCTATTTCAGATCCATTAATGACATCGTAAATAAGCATTTTGCTAATCTGAAATGTGAAATCTGGATAATAATAAAGACCCATTTATCGGCCTAGCTTTCAATCCTCAGACTATATGTAGATCAGGAGGAGAAAAAAAAAATCTCTTGGATTTTCTAATGAATATATTGCTTCTCTTTCCCATTATTTCCACCCACCCAAACCCAGCCTGCATTCTGAGAGTTGTAGCCTATTGAAAATATTCCTCCTGTGTAATGAATTCTCAGGGGCTGGGATGCATTTTTGCTTTTATCTGTAGAGTTTAGAAACTGATTAAATCTTTGTTGTACTACAAATATTTGAGGAATAATCATTTGCAAGGTGCAAGCATGTTGTGTTATATTGAATTCTTTATAGAATACCAACCTCTTCAGCTTCCTGAATTGGGCAATGTTGACCTTCTATTGGCTAACCTGTTTTTAATGTACCGCATGTAGGTTGAATGTTTAAATGTTCAGAAACCTATAATAGCTTTCGTTCTCTTGTACTGTAGAAACTTCTAATAATCAAATGATAAGATCATATCCTGTGGGGTAATTGTGTTGTACCGTGACAGGATAACTGAAAAAACATTCAGTGAATATTGCACCAAACGGAAATCACTTATATGAACCAGCGATTGTTTGTGTACTCTGTGAGACCAAGCCCTGTTCTTCAGAGCTCGGCTGGTCGTGGTTCTACTGCTTCCTTTTAGTTGCTGCCTTTCTTGTTTTATTTTGGGAGCCTTTTTTCCCTGAGCCACTATAATTATCTTTCAATGATTTAGAAGGGCAAAAAAAAATACTCAATTGACCTTTACACAACAGTCCACACACATCTCTCTCTCTCTCTCTCTCTCTCTGTCTCTCTTCCCCCCCCTCTGGAAGCTTTGAAACAAGCAAGGCTTATGTTTGGATTCAGTTTTACCTTAGTCATGCCTCTTCCCAGATACAAGAAACATTTAATTCCAGATTTCCTGCTTCTGGCTTTAGGCCTTTGACCAGCAAAGTGAAATGTATTTTTTACTGCTGTCGACCAGCCAGCTGCTAAATTCAGTGAAAGGAGGGAGAAAAGAAAGTAAAAACATGAAAATGTTACCCTGCCTCATGAACTTATAAAATTATAAAAGAAAATTAAAGTCTCCTTAACACCTGTCTAGAGGGATGGGTTGGCCTAAGACTATCACAGCCCAGGGTGAGGGGTGTGCTGGGGCCAACTGGATGTCTCTCCCACCCAGTTATCTCACACTCAGAGAGAATGCTGCCATTCTTCTCAGTGAAGAGGGTGCCTGAAGGTGTCCCCATGTTGACTAGAGAGTGGAATTGGGGGATAGGTTGGGCACCAACAAATGGTAACCATCGGGACACCAGACTTCACTGCTTCTGAGATTTCCATGGCAACAAAACAAAAGTAAAACAATCCTGTCTGTCCAAACAATAAACTGTTTTTATTCATATCAATTTAAAATATTTTTCCAGTTTAAAAGATTCCATGCATTTTGGTCCTGGACAAAAATTCTCAACCTGCTGGGTATGTGTGTATTTCAGCAGTTGAGATACGAATTGAGGGCGATAAAGTTCCTAACAGAACCATGCAGATAAAAGGAGTCGGGGTTGGGGGACGGACATTGGGGGCTTTACAGATGAGACTGAATCAATTCAAGTATGAACAAGATTGCTTTTTTTCTCTCTTCTGCTTAGTTATGCTTTTTATTATATAAACATTAGCTGTAATATTACAGTGGGAAGCAGGTATTTGGCAGCCATATATTATTTTAGTAAGTCTGCATAGAGAGAGCAGTTTCCAGTTTTAGCAGCTGTAACATGTTTAAACTCAGTTTGTAATGGGATCTGAAGATCACTATTCCCCATGGGTCATGTTGATCTTCATGGCTGGCCCACTGCCAGATGTAGGGCTCGAAAGTATTATTCACGCCTACTTACGCATACCCTGTCCGAGCATGCTCAGTAAATGAATTTATTTTCTAATGTGCTAGGAACTGGGATTTGATTTTACAACAGTTTAGTTGGCATTTTATTGGAGAGTGAAATATTATGATCACAAATGTCCCCACACACATACTCTCAATCCCAAATACACATATATGTTTAAATAGTTGAGATCCAAACTGCATAGTGAGAAACTAATTTTAGGAGAGCTAACAAATATCCAAACCAAAGAAATTTTTGCCTGGAAGTCTTGGTTTAAAAAATAATTAGGATCCCCAATATTTGAACAGATTTATGTTGTTTATCAGCCAAGTACATTTTCTTCATTGAGTCAACTTGTCTTATTTAAAACAAATTATGTTTGCTGTATTAAAGTTCATATTTTTAAAGGCTGAGTCTTGTATTAATCCCACAGTGAGTCATTAATCATACCAAATGCATTATAAAAACTTTAATCACTGAAGTTGAAACTGAGATTGTAATGCAATCCATCCCTTTTAATTACATCAGCTATTTTTCCCTTTTAGATCAAGAGCTACGTCGCAAAGGGAAAACAGATTAAAACTAGAGCTGTTTGATGTTTCTCTTTTTAGAGCAATTTTATGTACTTTGTTAAAAAAGTTATATAATTAAAATGCTTGAATTTTTCAGCCCTCTGGTTTTTGTGGCTTGAGTGATCTGTCTGCCTTCCTTCTTGCCAGGGCCTTTTATACTTGGCATCCCAAAACAGAGTTCCTTGTGCTGGAGGCACCTACCCCCCTCTGAGCTGCTGGACAGGACAGCTGTTTCTCAGGCCGACTGTGCTTGTCTTCCATTGACCTTTTTATCTGAAGTGTCTGGTCATTTTGACATGATGAAAATAAAAACTTCAGAGATGCACAGGACTAGGTTCAAATATTACCTTTGAAATGGTGTGATTCGTAGGCAAATGACTTAACCTTTCTGAGACCCAGTTGCTTCATCTGTTAACAAGGAATAATAATAATGCTCTGTCATTATTATTTTGGAGATCACATGAATTACTCTGCAATGTAGCTGGAACATTCTAGTACCTTCTACAGTGTAAGCTTCATGAGGGCAGAGGCTTTGAATCCTTTGTTTACTGCCATAGTTCATTGCCTAGAACACTACCTGGCACACAAGAGATGCTCCACAAATAGCTGTTGGTGGAATGGTAAATGAACTGTTGCTATTACTGTTGTGATGTGGCTGGTACTTAGCCAAGTGCCATGGGCAGTGATGATGATGTTGTCAACCTTTGGTAGTTGAACACCCCTCTATCCTGGATATACAGAACCACAAAACCAAAAGGAGGTCTTGCAGAGAAGGATGTAGGTTACCACATGCTGATTTTTGACCAAGGAAGTAGATCACTAAACCGTAAAGTAAGTTTCTAAAAATGCATCAATTACATTGTAGAGGAAGCCATTCACTAAGTTGCCTATATTGCAAAAAGAAAGTAAACCCCCCATTGCATTGATGCTTTTGGAATTACTCCACTGATTGATCATCTCTTCTGCTCTCCTTTTAGATTAATCCTACCATATGAAAGGTTTATTAAAGGAGAGGAAGATAAGCCCCTGCCTCCAATCAAACCTCGGAAACAGGAGAACAATTCACAGGATAATGAGAATAAAACAAAAGTATCAGGAACCAAACGCATCAAACATGAAATGCCTAAGAGCAAGAAAGAAAAAGAGAATGCCCCGAAACCCCAGGATGCATCAGAGGTGAGTCACTATGCTCCAGAAGAATGCCTCTGTGAGGGGCTGGCCCCTAGCCTAGTGGTAAATGGAGCCAGATCCTACATGGCCAATTGTGGTTTGAATCCTGGCCTTGGTGGTTCATAAAATAAGCTGGGTGCATGGGGCATGCATGCCCCAAATCCCAAAAGGATGGAAAAACAGATAAGGAATTTCAGCGAGACCATGTCCCATTGGAAGATGTTTACTTCCTCTCTCTATGTCTGTCTGTCTCTCTTTGGCAAGTGTATGTGTCCTCTGGCAATTAAAAAGGAAGGAAGGAAAGAAGGAAGGAAAGGAAGGAAGGAAGGAAGGAAGGAAGAAGAGAGAGAGAGGGAAAGGGAAGGGAAGAGGAAGAGGAAAGGGAAGGGAAAGGGAAAGGGAAAGGAAAGGAAAGGAAAGGAAAGGAAAGGAAAGGAAAGGAAAGGAAAGGAAAGGAAAGGAAGAAAAAGCTCTGTGAGACATGTCCTGCCTCAAGGTCTTCTAGAACCCTGGATCCATAACTGTATCTCTGCACGGTTACATGGCTGGACTAACAAAGCTTCACAGTTCTCCAGATAATTTCCCAATTCCTGAAAAAAACTTTTGGTTTGCTCAGTAGCTGAAAAGCAACACATAGTATGGAATGGAATAGACCAAGCGTAGAACCTAGAAAGACTCAAGCATCCTGTAGAAAACTTAGAGCAAATGCTAGGACTTCGATCTACTGTAGAAGGAGCCAGAACTACAACTTGCTGAAACCAAAGGATTCTATTATGAGAATGTGGCTTCTTGGTCATTTTATAGCCAGTCTTAGGCGTTGGTATTACTTTAAAACATGCTTGGAGGGTAAGTGGTGGTGGTGGGGAGGAGGGGCATTGAAATCCACGTGCTCTGATAGCAGGACCCTGAAAACTTTAGTGATATGTTCCTCTCCCATAATTGACTCGCTCCAACAGCCTTGAGTTGAGACCAATTTAGAAATATCTTAAGTACATATTATTTATAGGGGAATTTGGAAATGGTTCCTCTGAAACCATTATTATCTCTCATATTAACAGGTAGTTTCTGAACCTTTTAAAACAAGCCCCAGCTTACCCACAGCCCCCAACAGCTCTTTGGTAGAAACCATTACTGTCAGCATACAGCCAGTCAGAGGCTGATCTGGGCTCTGTTTCAACATGAAAAATAAAAAACCTTGCTGCCCAAAAAAAAAAAAAAAAAAAAAAAAAGCACCCACTTTGGGAGACGGGGTTTTTTAGG